AGAGGATGAACACAGTCTCTACTTGGAGGATACAGTAAATCCTCAGAGATTTTGCTAAAAGCCAACATTTACTATTCTTTTTACTGTCTCTGCTTTGAGAGTCACTGACGGTGGCTGGTTAAAAAAAGGCTTTGGAAAAGGTCATACTGGGAGTTCATGGAGGCTGTTAGTAAACACAACAGACGTGGCCACCAGATGATTTTTCTCTAACCTGCTGACATTTATTCAAATCAACACTTACCTCTCAGAAACAGACGTGCACACGCAGCCACCAGGTTGGAGCACATGATGCTATGTGGCTGCATGTTCAGGGTGAGTACCGTCGTCGTTCATGGTTCAGGGCTGTGGAATAAAGAAAGCCAAGAATTAACAGAGCTGTGTGAGGTTAAGGCTCATCTGCTGGTTAGTGAAACACTTGAGAATTTAAAGTTAATGTCTTCACATGCTTTGACATCTGATGCGTTACCAAACACTCTTCATGAGTTATATTCTCATGATGTCAGCCTCGAATCGAGCTGTGATAAGGATCCGCTCCATAATCTGGTGTTTTGTGGCTTCGCAGGAAGCGCATTGATTAAGTCAAGTGTTGTCCCACAGGAAAATCTGAATCCTCAAATGAAGAAGGCTTTTCTGTGTGTGCCTGCATCGCTGTGTTTGCACATGCAGATGAAACTGATACTCAACATAATTACTCGGGCAGCAAATTTATAAAGGGAGTCGTGACAAAATGAGATTCCCGTGGAAAAGAACGCACTTGACTGCCACTGCAGGCTATCAGAACCATCTCAGCCAATAAACAAGCAGAGGTTACAATGATTGGATGAAAAAAATAATTTGTTGTTGTCTCATCATCATAGAGCAAAACATCAATGCTAAGACAGTTTTGCGAAAAAACCTTTTGTATTAATTGCATTTTAGAAATACTAAAAATAATAGTATTTTATTGTTATTACCTTTGACACTATATTATCACGATTATAATACTTTTTAAAATACATATATGTACAGTATATATTATGTACATGTTTTTTTTAATTAGAGTATTATAATGTCACATTTCTAGTCTAGTCTAGAAAATACTCTGCACATGTGAAAATTTAAGGCTGCATGGATCACATGACCACTCCTTTTCATCTCATCTTGCTACATTTTGGATATCGATCTACTCTGGGAAAGTGACTAGAGTCTGATTTGTCACGTTAGGAACTGCTGATTGGCACAGATCTATGTGTCCAAATCATAATAAAAAAAGGAAAATAATCTAATTACATCTTGGAAAAAAATAAATCACACAGCAGGCAGCAGCTCGGTAATTGGAACACAGCCCAGTACTCTGGGGACAAAATGTATATGCATGAATGGTCCTCAACTACTGGGTCCTGATGCAACATACCATGAAGTCTTGTATTTTATCACCAAGTCTCTATGAGGGCTTCACATTTATTGATCGGGTGGTCTTAAAACCCCTGACCAAACCTAGACCCCTGCACTGGTTCATTTTGTCAACAAAGCAACACTCATTCACCTTACAACGCCCCTCCTTGGCCAATCACTGCTCCTTATTTTTATGTTCTGCAGTCCCTTTTGTATTGTATCTTATCACAGCCCTGTAGACACTGCTCTTATTGGTCAACTCCACTGTAAAAGCAACATTGACAATCTCCATTTGAACAGCTCTACTAAATAGCTTCTTTCTTCATTTACTCCTGCAAGAAGAATATTTCTTTGTAGTGTTCCTACATGTTGTTGCTAAATCCCACACTGCGGTCCATACTGTAATTCCAGTAAAAGATCAGAGGAACTTTATTTAGTATCTTGTTGCTGTGCAGTGCAGACATGGAATTAGTTACTAATTTGTTCCTACAGTCAAATCGAGGGCATGGTTTGTAGATCCTAAAGAAAAAAACTGCTTTACGCGAGTTGGGATGATTTCTCTATAATGTCTCAATAGAGTTTGAATGGAGTGTATCAAGTGCTCCTCATTGGAGGATCTTGATACAAACTCATATCCTAGGCACTTGTGACAACACAAAAAACCTTTTAATATCTGAAGGTTGTTAAATGACGACCATAGTATGTTGTGTCCATGAAGGTCTTTTTGTATGTACAAGATGAATCCTGTAGAAAGGCACAGCTTAGGTCAATAGTCACGATCAATATGAGCCAGTGTAGGCTAATAGAGCGCAAAAATCCCAATTTATTTAGTGTGACATTTTAAATCCCCCACAATTGAGTCAGGTATAAAATGGTCAACTTAAGCCGTGCTAAATGCAGACAATAAATCAAAGGACCAAAATGAGCAGAAAAAAACAACAACAAAAAAACAGAGTAAAGAGTTGGAGATAAAGAGGAAAGGAATCAAGTTCACTAATCAATCCTGGCCGTTGTCCGGGTTTTAATGTAAATTGATTCACTTCGTTAGAGACTTTTTAATTTGTCTCCACCTCTTATTGATCGCCCCCTGTAGTCCATGCTTGATATTTATAAAGGCATTTGGACTTCTGTGATTGATCTCTATATAATGGGCCGCCATGGGATATTGGTTGCCAGGTTGTTTTTTATGGCATGCTTATGTTCAGCTAATCTTGCCTTCAGTTTCCTATTTGCTCTATAACTTTAAACACTCATCTAAACTGCATGCTACGAGTCACTGCAGCTAACAAATGGTTTTATGACACATTTTTCTGACTTAAAAATAAAATTGTGAATAATAACTATAACAATAATAGTAATAATAGTACAGTGATTGCAATTTCCACATTTGTTATTACTGGCTCTGATGATAAAACAAAACTAATGATGGTCACAGTGGGGGCTGGGGGTGGAGGGGGCTGATGGGGGCTCTTCATAAGCTTGTCATTAACAGTCCTTCTGAACTCCATGTTAGGATTCAGCGCAGTAGTGTGAAACATCTCTGGATCTTAGCTTTGGGTTAGCTTCTTTCAACAGTTTTTGTGGGGTCTTTTATTTGATCAGAGACAGGGTGTGAATGACATTGTATCTGCCTTTCTTGAATCTTATTAAAATCTTAAATCTCAGTGTTTGTTTAACCATTTTTGAAGTATTCTCTACTTAGCTGGATTTGACATCTTTGCTACTTCCTGGTACATTAGTTTTCTCTGTTTAAATTTCCTGCTGTGATTTATTTTGAATTTTTTCTTTCATGATTTAAAAACAAAATCACATAACCAAACCTTTGCCTAGCAAAAAAATGACTGATTTTGAAGAAACTGAAGAAATGATTTTTCTACATGGTTATAATAATTGTGCAAAAAGAGAGAGAAAAGAACAGATCACAGTTGGCACAGGCCCTTGGCAACAGTGGAGAGAAAAACCTCCAGTATAGCAGGGGGAGAAAAAAATTACTGGCAGAATCAGATTTAGAGTGTACAGCCATCTGCTTCGGTCAGTCAGGGTGAGAGGGGCAAAAGGGGGAGAGTAGAGGTGAGAAAATTACAGAGGGAGAGATCAAGGTTATATTTTGAATGTTACATGTGAAATAAACACATAATTAGTATTACCATTATTCATATAAACAACAAAAAATAAATATAATATGATGTTAGCATCAGGATGTCTGTCTTTCTCTCCATCTATCTATCCATTCATCCAAATATAATATGATGTTAGCATCAGGATTTCTGTCTTTCTCTCCATCCATCTATCCATTCATCCATCCATCTACAGCCAACTTGGAAGAATGCATACGCAAAAGAAAATGCATATCCATTACAGAAAGGAATAGAGGACCGGGAATCAAACCAGCAAACAAATGATCTACTTGCTGTGCTCACCACCTTTTTCCATATGGACAAAATACACCTAGAGTACCAAGGGTGTTCCACCAGCAGGCTAGGCCTTTGCAGCACAACAAGACCAATGCAACAATACAATGACTAAAGATGTCACGATTATAGATTCTCTTGGTACGATAATTGTTAATGAGTTTATCACGACTATCATGTGTTCATTGATTTCAAAACACTATGAATGTGTTAAATCACACGAGCACTCCTTGAAAGGTCTTTAAGGGTTTTTTTTACCTCTAGATAAATACATTTCCAAAACCCAGACGAGCTTCGTTTGGACTATAATGACTAATGACATCACCAATTATATGACCCAGTATTCGTACTTGTATGCTCGACAGCCTAGACACTCAGGTAGGTACATTACTGCAGAGTTATGCAGATCATTTTCTTACACCCATCAGTTGTCTAATAAAACTTTGCGATACCTCTGTTAGCCACTGCTAACATCTGGCTCCAGGCTACAGTCAGTGGAAGAAGAAATCTGTCAGAACAGGCAGCAGAGTTGGCAGAGGAACTGCTCAAGTCAAACTGATTTCACTGTGTGAAGCTACAATTAAACCTGAGAAGTTCCTGGTGCTGGGGAGACTTTAATTGTCATTAATAAGTTTATTGGCTGTCGGCTGGAGCTTCAACCTGTCAACGTTGAATAGGCCAACAGCCAAAACAGGAATAATAAATGGGTGGAACCAAACATTATTCTGTGCTAAATCTAATTAAACTTGGTTGACAAATGGTTGGCCTTCAGGCACAGAATCGTGCAGGAAAGGGTCACATCCCTCTCTGCCACACTGCATTTGGCCAATGGGTGAGCGGGGAGAGAAGACAGAGAGAAAGAACGAGATGGAGAGAGAGAGGGTGACAGAGAGGGTGGGGTAGGGAGGGGGGGCAGAGAAAAAGAGAGGATGGGGAAGATGGAGAAGAGAGAGGAGAGGAAGTATAATGGGTTTAATAGGAGAAAACAAAACAAGAGAAAAAACAGTTAGTGAGTAAGAAAAGAAAAAAAGAAAAAATACAGAAAGAAACAAACATGAAAAAAGGAAAGAAAAAGCCAAAGCGAATAAAAGAAATAAGGGTAAAAAAAGACAAAAGAGACAATAAACGTAATGGAAGGATATAAAATATAAAGGAAAGAAAAAGAAAGAAACATAGAGAAAAAAGAGAGAGAGAGTGGGAGAGAGCTAGAGAGAGAGAGAGAGAGAGTGAGAGAGAGAGAGAGAGAGAGAGAGCTAGTCCAGTCCAGTGTGGTCGCTCCTCATTCATTTACTCTCCAGCCTTCGTCCACCTTCTGACACTTGTTCTGGAAATCTTTTTTTTTTTTAGATATTAAAAACCAAACTCACCTAAATCACTTTCGGATATGGAGTTGTCCACCTTCCCCCCCGAGCTGCTGGTCGTTTTTACGGAGCTCCCCACTGTGTCCGTAACTCCTCTAAATGTTTCTGTCTCCGAGGACCTCCTGCAGACCAACGACACGCAGAGCTCCTCGTCCAGGGACACCGCCGGTCTCGTCCTCGCCGTGTCCATCACGGCTCTCTACTCCCTCATCTGTGTGGTGGGACTGCTGGGGAACGTGCTGGTCATGTACGGAGTGGTCAGGTAAGAGGTCTGGGTGACGAACCGACAACCGTGGAGTGAGAAGAAAAGCAACTCAGATGAGAATAGTTTGATTCACGTGCACTTCACCGACTCCGCTGCTGCGGCATCAACATCAGTCTAATTTGGTGTATTCACATTTCACAGCCCGTAGTTTTCAGTAGAGGAGTGACGTTTTTTTTTATTCCAGAAGTATTTTAAGTCGCGTTAACAACAGAATCGCCGGAAAATATTGTTCCAGGAACATTTGACTTTACTATAACAAACCGTGATATTTTGTCTCGTCCTTCTTTTGCCTCAGTTCTCATTGATTACAGTCACTCGTCAACACCTGCCAAGCTTCAATCCACCTACACATGAACACCGCCTCTGTTCCTGTCAGACTTCCATGTTGTTCTCATATCTGACATAGGTTTAGGTTTCATTAGAACCGAGTCTTAGTCTCCTGTTACTACCTTCAGTCCCACCAAGTAGTCAACAAGACCACAAATGTGATGTCACAGCGTCTCCTGTTAGGACTTGGACATTTGAGGATTATCCCTGACCTCAACTGTAATTCATTTATTTCTAGTGATAATCCTAATTAAACAACAATTTACTTCATAATCATCCATCTAAATATCTCAATAGGAGCAGAATTAGTAACACACAGTGTATGTGTGTGACACTGTTAGTGGACACACACACACACACATTGCTGAACCCCAACCCAATTTTAAACCTATTTCTAGAGCTGACTATAAAGCCGTGTATTGACCCAGTAAAATGTGAACGATATCCCTAAAATTATGTTTTTCAATACAAAACGTGTCCCCACTGTCTATTAAAGAAACGCGTGTGAGGGGAGAGGAGGGAGAGGGAGAGAGAGAGAGAGAGAGAGAGAGAGAGAGATGAGGGAGCAATGAGCTGCAGCTCAGCCTTGAAATTATATCCCTTTATTGCACCAGTCCAAAGTGATACATTAAACTGTGGACTGATTTGATGTTGAGAAAGCACTTAGGTTAAGATTATTATTATTATTATTATTATTATATGTGTATAAGTATTTGAAGTTCCACATCAGTAATGACCCAGGAGTGTTTTTGGATGTAACCTTGAGCTGACTCACAGACAGAAAATGGGAAATTAAGTTATGTTTAACCGGACCTTTTATCTGACCAATTTCCTAAAGAGTTTGCAACAGCGATCAATAGTTTCATGTCTTTACCAAATAAATCTACATTTTGAGGAATGTGATCCAATTTAGAGGAAATTAGAAAAGCAAGTCTTATGGTAGAGAGCCAGAGAATGACCACAGGAAATGATGGCTGAATGGAAGGCATTGGCACAGACAACTTTTCTGTATGAATAACATGTCCACTCAGATGTGCTAATTCCCTATCAGCTATTTTACTCTAAATTGGAGTGCAGTTAACTTTGCTGACTGAATGGAAAGAAAGTAAATCCAAACTTTTAAACCTAAAGGTTGCATTTTCTTCTCTCCTTGAGCCGTAGGTTTCTCCCTTTTACTTTTCAATCATCTATTTTTTAAAGCACAGATCCATAGTCGGATCCCCACGGCCCACTGAGGAGACTTTTGTGTTGCTGTTTAAATGCAGAGAATTATGGTTTGTACAATAGTAACACAAGTGAATAGAAAACACAATGTGCCCCAGGTAAAATGATTACACACTGAGGGAGATTCATGAATGCTGTGTAATTATCAGATAATGTCTTTGAGTCGATAGAAGCCATTTCCTTGGGTTCCAATTTATGGCCTCGTCTTTTTAACATTTTTCATGTGTTATCCTTTAACACAGCTCCTCTCTGAGTAGATATTATTGAATACAGGAGCAGCAAGGATGAGCTGGATTTCTGACAGGACTGCTCAAAATAAAAGCCATCCAATCGGACCGAAAGGACTTTGTTTGTGTCCTTTTCCAGTTTCAATCGATTTTTCAGACAAAGAGCCACGAAAATGGAGGCTCAGAACCTTTTTGCAGAAACACAAAAAGGAGGCATTAATGTGCATTTACAAAAGTGCCAAAGAAAAATCTTCCTTGAACTGAAATGATCTGCCTTCAAATCTATGGTCATTTAACTGCAATGGAAAAAAATTGCCATATTACTATTTTATAAAATATCCAATTATTGACAAAAACGTTAACGGTACTCTATTTTTTATTATTAAGATTTTTGTTCTTTTGCCACATTAGGTCACTTTTTATACTAAAACCTTATTTTGGTGATTTGTCTTCATGGTTAGTGATGTTGTCTTACAACAAGGAGGTCACAACAACAGCCTGTTTTGTGTGAAGTTCACATCACTTGCCATCCTCTATGATTATCCTACCAAGAGCCAAAAGACTATATTTAGGAATTGAATGTAATGATAGGTGGCCAGCTTCGAAGACCAGAAGAACCTGAGCATTTTTGAAACAATCTGAATGGATGACAATCAACAGAAAGGTCATGTTACTTCTAACACAATTTACAACGTTAATAAACACTCTCCTGTGATGTTTATGGTTTTAATCGCTAGTTTCCAGTTTCCATCGATAGATGAAAAAGTGTGGCGATATTTCCCGAGTATCAATGAGTGGATTTACGTGTTATTAAAAAACAGAACGTCTATGTATGAATATGTTCATATGTTCACTCACATGTTCACCGTCTTGCTGTGTCAAGGTAGTGTGAGGCGCTGCTATGTCGGTCAGAACTGTTGCCTAACAACAAGAGGAGTTAACAGCACACACACACATGAAGTTAGAGTCTGTGTGGTCTGTCTCCAGGTGCTCCCTTTTCTCTCACATATGAAAACGATACTGCACAGGGAAAAACATAATTAGACTCAATAATACTTCATACTGGGTATGAGTGTGAGTGTGTTTACTGCACCGTTCTTACAGTGAGAGAAACGCTGCTTCAATCCCTGGTGGTCCTTCAAGATCAGATTTAATGGACCCTCCGTATCAGGGGTCTCAAACTCAGACGAGCAGAGGTCCACTGCTGCCACCGCCATTTAACTGGAGGGCCACCTCAGTGATTGATGTTCACTAAAAAAATAAATACACAAATAAATAAACAAGCAAACATTTATTCATAGGCAAAATGAAATTATAATTAACATCTAGCTGTGGGCCAGGTAGTTTCAGTCTAAATTAAACATAAATATGAGTGGATGTGAAATGTTGCTTGTCTCTGATTTGTGACATTGATTTGAGGTCATTGGTTACAACCATCAAGAATGTTGACCATAACCATATCTGGTTATTAGTCGGGTATAAATGTTAAAATCCATTTATCAATGTAGCTGCTGGTTGTTGCGGGACAGAATTAGACTTACCTGTTCTCCATCCATCTCCAAACAACCAGATACACCAAGATGAAGACGGCTACAAACATCTACATCTTCAACCTGGCCCTGGCGGACGCCCTGGCCACCAGCACGCTTCCCTTCCAGAGCGCCAAATACCTGATGAGAACATGGCCCTTCGGGGAGTTTTTGTGTAAAGTGGTCATCGCCATTGACTACTACAACATGTTCACCAGCATCTTCACGCTCACCATGATGAGTGTGGACCGCTACATCGCTGTGTGTCATCCGGTGAAAGCCCTGGATTTCCGCACACCTGCCAAAGCCAAACTCATCAACGTCTGCATCTGGATCCTCTCCTCTGCCGTCGGAGTCCCTGTGATGATCATGGCAGTTACCGAGGTGACAGATAAAGGTGAGGCACTGTTATTGTTGCGGGAAGAAAGACTTGAAATGATCAAACTCCCGGTAGATTCCAGGACGCAATCACACTGTAAAGGGGAGTGCATTTATCGGGGTAATTAACTTGAATGGGATTCTCCACATGCTCCTCTGTTCAACTACTAATTGTTTTAATCCTTGCAGGAAATACAGCATGCATGCTCCGATTTCTCAAACCAGAGTGGTACTGGGATACACTGATGAAGATCTGCGTGTTCGTCTTCGCCTTCGTTGTGCCCGTCCTGGTCATCACTATCTGCTACGGTCTCATGATCCTACGACTCAAGAGCGTCCGTCTGCTCTCTGGCTCCAAAGAGAAAGACAGGAACCTGCGGAGGATCACCCGCATGGTCCTGGTGGTGGTGGCCGCCTTCATCATCTGCTGGACCCCCATCCACATCTTCATCATAGTCAGGACCATGGTGGATATCAACCACAATAACTTGTTTGTGATGGCCAGCTGGCACCTGTGCATCGCGCAGAGGTCCACTGCTGCCACCGCCATTTAACTGGAGGGCCACCTCAGTGATTGATGTTCACTAAAAAAATAAATACACAAATAAATAAACAAGCAAACATTTATTCATAGGCAAAATGAAATTATAATTAACATCTAGCTGTGGGCCAGGTAGTTTCAGTCTAAATTAAACATAAATATGAGTGGATGTGAAATGTTGCTTGTCTCTGATTTGTGACATTGATTTGAGGTCATTGGTTACAACCATCAAGAATGTTGACCATAACCATATCTGGTTATTAGTCGGGTATAAATGTTAAAATCCATTTATCAATGTAGCTGCTGGTTGTTGCGGGACAGAATTAGACTTACCTGTTCTCCATCCATCTCCAAACAACCAGATACACCAAGATGAAGACGGCTACAAACATCTACATCTTCAACCTGGCCCTGGCGGACGCCCTGGCCACCAGCACGCTTCCCTTCCAGAGCGCCAAATACCTGATGAGAACATGGCCCTTCGGGGAGTTTTTGTGTAAAGTGGTCATCGCCATTGACTACTACAACATGTTCACCAGCATCTTCACGCTCACCATGATGAGTGTGGACCGCTACATCGCTGTGTGTCATCCGGTGAAAGCCCTGGATTTCCGCACACCTGCCAAAGCCAAACTCATCAACGTCTGCATCTGGATCCTCTCCTCTGCCGTCGGAGTCCCTGTGATGATCATGGCAGTTACCGAGGTGACAGATAAAGGTGAGGCACTGTTATTGTTGCGGGAAGAAAGACTTGAAATGATCAAACTCCCGGTAGATTCCAGGACGCAATCACACTGTAAAGGGGAGTGCATTTATCGGGGTAATTAACTTGAATGGGATTCTCCACATGCTCCTCTGTTCAACTACTAATTGTTTTAATCCTTGCAGGAAATACAGCATGCATGCTCCGATTTCTCAAACCAGAGTGGTACTGGGATACACTGATGAAGATCTGCGTGTTCGTCTTCGCCTTCGTTGTGCCCGTCCTGGTCATCACTATCTGCTACGGTCTCATGATCCTACGACTCAAGAGCGTCCGTCTGCTCTCTGGCTCCAAAGAGAAAGACAGGAACCTGCGGAGGATCACCCGCATGGTCCTGGTGGTGGTGGCCGCCTTCATCATCTGCTGGACCCCCATCCACATCTTCATCATAGTCAGGACCATGGTGGATATCAACCACAATAACTTGTTTGTGATGGCCAGCTGGCACCTGTGCATCGCGCTGGGCTACACCAACAGCAGCCTCAACCCCGTGCTGTACGCCTTCCTGGATGAAAACTTCAAGAGGTGCTTCAGGGATTTCTGCCTGCCTTACCGCGCTCGTTTGGAGCAGAGCAGCTTCTCCAGAGCACGTAATAGCACAAGGGAGCCAGCCTCCGTCTGTGCTCCCATGGGGACAGAGAGGCCGCCGGCATGACTAGGCATGGCTCAGTTTGGGGGTCGGGGAATCCAGGAAGACCTCCAAACCGAAGTCACACAGGTTTCCACCACGGGAGTTTGAGGCTGTAAATACACATTAGGCTTTGGAGCCACTGCTTTAAAATCATATTATTGATCACGGGTTCGAATTTCTGTAATGAAATACTCGTCCAACAGAAGCGTGAGGCAAAGTGTCGTATGGATAATCTGTCAGAGAAATCACAACAACATGAACCCACACAAAGAAACACAACACTGATGTTAATACAGTGTTGGGCTATAGAAAATCTATAGTACACTCCGAAACCGGTACACACACACACACACACACACTAGTCATGCGTGTATTTTTTTTTATACTAATAATAGTGAACATAAGGTATGTGGCTCAATGTTGAGGTTCATATGGAGAAAATCAAATATTCCATAAATAAATAAAAAGCTGTGTCCAGAGACCAATGATGGGCTTCTCCATGTTGGTCGGCAGTTAGAAACACAATTATAAAGAACATAGTCTCCTGCTGTGAGATTTTCTAACTGTGACAAACTGTAAACGACAACTGGAACTGTAAACGACACACACTGTGCATTAATAACGTTCTCTGGTCTTTATGTCCATATGAGGTAAACAACGGAAGATCGATGTGAACGCAGTCTCCCAGTGATCGATTGCAGGATATTCCTCATACAAAGCGAGGTCACAGAGGAGGTTTTTATCATAGCGTGAGTATAAGGCTCTGAGACTGTCCACCTCAGTGCCACAAGTCAGCGACGGCACCGGACGTGCAGAGAATCAACGGGAAAAGGAATGACAGCGTTTCAAATTATTTCAGTCAGTCAGACACGAGGTGTTGCAGGTAAATACACTGCATCACAATTCCATTCTATTACATATGGGCTGGCTGTCAAATGACTTGCTGTGTGTCAAACTCTCCGATAGGTAAAAAATTAGAACAAACAAACAAACTGAAAAATGAAAATACAACTCCATCAAACATTAATTAAAAGTTAATTAAACCTGGGTTAAAGCTTTTTTTAATGAGCTATTAGCATATCGAGCAGTTGTAAGGAGCCTTAAAGTGAAACCTGATGAATTTAGACTCAGAGGGATTGCTTTCCCACCCACAGAACAGGAACACACATTGGCCTTGCTGACCAATCAAAGCTCTTTGAGCAGCAGTTTTAAAGTCACTCCTTCATTCACACGTCGACGCACCGTCAACCGGCCACAGGAGACATATATGGTGAATCCCATTTTGCTCCTGGCCTCTTCGACATGCAACTCAGTTTTGCCTTTCTAAGCAGTTGTGTGCTTCTCTGTCCTTGCTGAGGTGGAGGGGTTAGGGGGACATGTACAGGCGTCAGTGCCCTAAAGTGTAGTTTCAGGGGGTAAACTCCAACTGAGCCTCAATCAGAAAAAAATTACTTTCCTGGGAATTACAATACATTTGGCATGTTATGTGACTGGAGTAGGGCCACCAGCCCATGATTGTGCAAACCTAAAGTGGCCTGTTAACATTTCCACATAAAAGCAGGTCATTTCTGACTACATTTCTGTCAGAGCTTGGCTGCAGTTACACACAATGCACTGGCCACTGTGAACAGGCAGTGCATATTTTAGTGAAAAGACCACCTGCCTCTCCTACTGATCTATCTGCCCAAAAAGCATCTGTCTCCCGATTATCTCCGCCTGTAAATCCTAATTGAAGGGAGCGCCGTGGCTCCACCTCACTGGAGAACTAATGACAATACAATAATGCTGATGTTTGGCCGAGTCCTAATAATCACAGAGACTGCACACACAGTGTAAATAAAAACCATTGTAAAGGATGTGTGGCCCAATACTGGAGCCTGGGGCCGTGTGACTGACATGGTGAAGGGTTCCTGTTAAAGGCATGTTATATAAAAAATAAAATGTAAATACGGCCTTTGTTTGCAAATGTGAGCTCTTTGTTTGCTGCTCTTGGCATTGTGTTGTCTAGATGCTACCAAATTTGGTGTATGTGTGGTCCAGTTATGCTTTAAGGTCTACTTTAGGCTAACATTTAGCAATGCTATGGCCAGCTGGTGAACCATATCTGTGAAATGATATTGAGTGTCCATCCATTACATTTTTCACCTGATTAATCACAGGATAGCTGATGATTTGTCCTGACTAATTCTGATCATTAATCATGATTCAGTCAGCTTGTCAGCCGTAGACTTACGTACTGTCCTGTGCTCGGTGAATGGTCTGATGCAATCATGGCGTCTCACCTGAAGTCGAAACCTTCACTAACACATGCTGGACGATGGGATGGAACGGCTTGAAGTACTTCATTAAAATGAAGACTTTTCCCCACAACTGTGAGTTAGAGCAACACAAAAAACAAAAGGAAAATAGATTATTATGAGAATATAATTACATGAATCATATTGTAATTATTGGATATACAGTACACATCATTCAAATGTATTAATAATAATGAGATTAATTTCACAAATCAATTTTGGAAACCCTGTGTACAATAGTGTGTAAAGCCAGACTAACAAGGAAGCAAGTCTCTCTGTTAAGGCTTAGAACACATGGACAAACATACAATACAGGAATACCTTTTTTCAACACATTTCGACAGAATAGTTGAACCATTGCCATCACATTGGTGCAGTTTAATTTACATACATGACATGGACAGTGTAGGCAAAGGGATAATGTAACAGCACAACAGGTAAATGTGGTCCTGTCTTTGTTTTGCCTCAACACCATTAACCCTTACTCTAAATGAATGTTTTTACACTGAAGTGCTATATGTGCCACGGGCATTAGAAGAAACTCTTTGTATCCTTTGCAGACGGTCCCTCGGTGTTACTACAGCTACACATTGATTTATTATGTTTTCTGCCGCACTGTGACTTCAACATCAAGCTGAATGAAAAATTGTACCATATCGCCTTATTCAGCCTCATGTTTCATTGCAAGAGTGGGTGTTTTGTAAAAAAAAAAAAGAAAAAAGTGCTTTTTGTAATTATTTTCAGCCATCTTTCACCTACTGTACTGCACAAATGTGTTTTTGTCTTTTCCATACAGTAAAACTGTCATCTGGATCTGCAGATGACATTCTGTATCTTACAAAGAAAAACAAAACAAATATAAATGTTTTTTTAATAATTATTATAAATGTTATTAACATTACTTTTGTTCTCTGTAACCGCCACATAGGCCTCATGGGAGTTACATATGTAATGAGTTAGTAAAATGAAGTATGGATTATTGATGCACATGTAGATTGGTAGGTGTCGTGGCCCCTGACCCTAAAAGCCCCTGTTGGGCACATGTCCCAGGGGGTTAGGGTATTGAGGCAGATGCAAATGAATATTAATGTGCAGGAGAGGACAGCATCATGTAAATCAGGTCAGGGATGTTGACAAGGTTTCTGGACGACAGACACCCAGCAAAATCAACTCACTTGACCCAATGGGGAAAAAAGCTGATGATTTTCTTTATTTGCTGAATGTGATCTCGTTAACAAATCCTGCGATTTGACTCTGTCTGTGGTTTCACTGACTAGAGATAAAGATATGAATCTTTTAAAACAAGTCAGGGAGGTGAATATTTTATTTTCAGCCCAGAATTTGGAATTTAAAACAGACAAGTGAGTACAGATGGACTCTGTGCTCATTACTGTAATAAAGGAACCTCTGCTGGGTGACATGTACCAGGCCTTTCTGACTGCACCTGAGTCTGAATGAGCTCCGGGTGCAGGAGGGTTATTTTTACCACAGTTTGGACAGATGTCCAGGGCTTGTATTTTTACTTATATTCAGTCAAAACATTTTTATACATTTACTAAATTTGTAGGTAAATTCGCCCATCATTTGAGTCTGTTTGTTCAAAGCCATAAGAAATTCAGATTTCAAATTTGGCGAATCACAAACTTGGCATTGTTAACACCAGCTTTGTCCCATTTTTCCCATTGAGTCTCTGGAATCACTCACCCCTAAAAATAATGACATACAGTTTGTGTCCTTGTATAAACTCTTGCATAGTACTGGACTATTTTTGTAAAGTAAAATGGAATATTCTGGAAAATTGTGTTGTAAGTAAACAAACAGGAAAGGCTGTGTACAAAAACGTGATGAATAAAAATACGAATTCTGAGAAATGTATGTTTGTAGAAATTTCTTTTATCCATTTTTTTAATAAGAATATTGCTGTTCATTTCTCCTATTTTTGCAATCTGGATGCCCTGGCTGGAGCCATTTTAAAACAGTCATTAGCCGAGGGTATAAAGCCCCACATGACCATTCACACTTATATTTAAATTTATGATTGATTTAGAGGCAATAATTACAGGCTACCCTGACAGAATCCCAGGCACAGAGAGAAAACAAATAGAGACTGGGGATCGAGCAGTAAACCAGCGACCTTCTTGCTGTAAGGCAAGAGGAGAAAACTACTTCTTTCACCTTATGGCAGGTGCAACAGAATTGTCTAACAAAAATACTATTATATATATACAAAAAATATAGTTCTTTAACTGTGTATAAAAATGCACCTCATGACAGAGGCGTCTTAAGCTGGTGAATAATCACAGCAGGAAGACAGTGAAGTACCAGCAAATATTCACAATAAATGTCAGTGACTCTCAGACAGATGAAGAAACTTTCCAAATGATTGCTATGTTTTGTCTTGTGGTTCAGGAATTAAATTATTCAGGTTTGGAATATCTGGTGATTTCATTTATTTGCACACATGAAAGGGCTGAATTCAGCCTGTGCCGAAAGACTGATGTTGTCTGGGAGAAGAAAACAAACACAATTTGACAAATTAATCCTGAGAGTCAGAGTTTCTCTGAGGCTCACACTGTACAGAAGTACCAGGCGGTGCCGAGACTTCAATCACACAGGGCAGAGAGAGAGATAGATTTTTCAGCTGGTTTAGTGAGTGGGGTGGTGGTTGGGGGAGTGAGGGGAGGTGGTGGTGGTGGGTCGCAGAGACAGGGAGGAATGACTCGCCGTTTTTCTGTGCCTACAGAGCTACGGCTTTCTTTCCCATAAAATATACACGCCTATATTTGTTTAAATAAGTGAAAAAGCAACAAAATGAATAATTTAAAGCAGCTGACGACTGACTGAACTAAACAGCATGTTGACCTTTTTAGAAATACATAAAAAAAACTGAAAAATTTTAAATTCAACAACACATAGACCAGCGACATCTTTATCCAGCAGTGGTTTTCATCTTGATGTCAGATGGAATAAAACAGGCAATATTAAACAAAGATGTCTCGTTCACATGGGTTGTTGACCATTTGTTTCCTCAGCCATAACCACGGTTGTACGTGCAGTCAAAATAGCAGGGAAACGTGACAGACACGGCTCCACCACAGCTGAGCTCTGCCTGACACCAGCACATCAGACTCTGCTGACATCTTAGGGTGGTTGAGAAACATTTTCTTCTTCTATTTGAAGTCAGATTAAAAGTGTCAACTTTACCTGATGACATCGTTATTTGTTCCAGCTGCATGGAAAGGCAAGACACATCTCCACGTACGGGTCTTCTATCCAAGCATGGATAACAGCAGTTTGCCATGAGGTGAAAACATCCGACATTTGTCGGCTGGATTGCTGCCGTGACGACCCCTGAAGGAGGAAGCAGCAGAGCAGAAACCATAGCCTTAAGATCAATTCAAGTACTTCATAATACAACCGTGGGGCCAGTATGAAAATCACAACCCAGCAGCAGCATCTTCATAGTTAATGTGTGTTCTATGATTATACTGAACAGTCACAGTGACAGTTTCCACAATAAGCAGCGAATGGAGAATTTAACAACAGAAGAATTTATGTTAGAAACAAAAATAAGGATGGTGAGATGCTGAACTAAAATGTTTTGTTGACCTGTGATTCATCTACAGTGACAGGGCTTCAGTGCAGCTCAGGGAACAGAAACACAGAATAGTTTTAGGAGAAAGCCGGGTTTATAGGAGTGAAGATGAAAGGAGTCATTGGTGGAGTGATTGCTGAGATGTTGAGTGAAACCTCTGCTCTTTGGTCTGTGTAGGAGACGGCGCATTTTCAAGAGATGATAGAAGATGTTGCTCCGCTACTGCAATCTGCAGAGACAGAATTGATCTTCTTTGGCTCCAGTGCACCACAGAGAAACTGTGTAATTTCCAACATTAGAGCAGATGTCTACGCACTGTGACTGAGGCTCCTCACAAAGCACAGCAGCATGGCTAACAGCACCGCCAACTACTTAGTTGAAGCTGTGTGAAATAAAAAAAGTTGACTTTTATAGAAAAACAATTTGAGCCCTTTGAAATAGCTTTGCAATTATTTCCATTTGCATGAAAATTATTACAAAACCCTTCAGTTTTACTCTGTTTCTAATTGTTCAATTAGAACTGTTCAAAGGTCCAACCATCTTAAGGCACAAACTACTTTTATTTCCCTGCTGAGGCGCTCTGAATGTTTCACACTGGGAGCCATCTGTCAGCCAGCAGCCAGAAGTGGTGGGAGGCTCAAGCTACTCCTTAAACTCAGGTCCAAACTAACAGAGACACAAATCACCAGACATGGTGTCTAAGAATTTCACGTAGTCATGAATATTAAATTAAAGGAGAAGTTGGGATATTTTTATTACCTGACACTGATGTTTGAAATCAGTAAGCACTGCAAGCAAGAAAAAAAGCAGAAAACAGAACTGAGAGAAGGACTGGTTCATCACCCATTTAACATGCACACAATATTATTACAAGTACTGTGTAACCTTGACCATGTTATTACAAGGCATCACAGGTTTTGTATACCAAAGTTATCATAAGTAGGGTGGTACCCATAACATTTTGTACAAAGCGGCACTAATGCTTCTTTAGGTTGGCTCTATTTTAACATGCCATGAACAGGAGAGTCATGAATTTATAAAAGAAATGTAAAATATGTGCTATTGCATCAAAATGGCCAGGGAAAACATTGGGTATAGTATATAACATATACAGTACATATACAGTATGCATACTGTGTCTGTTGACAGCACTTACTTCACTTGCTTATCATCACGTCAACACCAGTTCCAGCTACAGCACAAAGATGAACCATGGCAGGATGTAGAAGGTACCAAGGAGCCATCCATCCACAGCACTACTGCTTTATGTAGCACTGTAAAAGAACCATCAACCACCAAAGAGTGGTGATGATAACAAGGTGAAAGATAATAAAAATGATTTATTTCACATTTCTGTTTTATCTACAAGTAGAGGTGCATATTTGTATAGCGTATTTATAGCCTGCCGAACCCAAAAATATATTAAAATGACTCATGTTTACAAATCCAACCCTGCTGTGAAAACTATCTGTTATTAATGCTATGTTTAGTGTTGAAACATCATAAAGTACATTTGGTCTTTTTAATGTAAAAACAGTAATGGCCAAAGTAATATTCGCTTTTTGCCAAGAATAGAAAACAAGAAATTTAGCAGAAATTTTCAGACAAGGGGAAAAAAAATCTATTCACGAACAAACATGTCATCATGTGCAATATTCACGTGTGGATGAGACCCGCCTGTGTTACTGGAAACATCACCAGGAAGATGATTTCAGCTCACTTTACTAAAATGACCATTTACACTGATGACATACCTAAAAGCCCTCTCTATCTGTAGACGTGTGTACTCAGTACTCAGCATGTGTAAACAGTACAAGCGAAGGGACATTTTAGGAAGTGACTCACGTCCCCAGTGTTCTTCATTACCAGGGTCTAATGCTCTGCGTGATCTGCTCATGTAACACATGTGCAAACATTGCATTTGCTGGAGAAAATGCTCCGTCTTATCAGCCGCTGCACAGCTGTTGCTCCTGTGCTGCCAGGGTCTTGAGTAGCCCTCCAACCACTGGACCATGGGCTCCAATCTCACAACACCATCTCCAGTAATTATAAGCCAATGAAGTTCCAACAGCTTAACAGACAGAGGGATGGTCTCATGCTAATAATATCTTCTCTGATTTCCTCTGCACAGAGCCTCAGAGAAGCACATTGACTCAGTGTAAACAATCCCTCATTGAAAGTTGAAGAGAAGGAAACTGAAAACCATTTCATCTGTCATTACATTGATTTATATTTGAATCATTCCTTATACAACAGCAGGGATCATTGGGGTTGTTGGAAAAACTCCCCTTATGACAACTGTATCAAGATCAGGACAAAACTAGGGCTGCAGAGGGCGCACAAAGCACCATGGCCCTCTCTACTAACCAAAATATATATATATATATATTTGTTTTTTTAACATATCCCTTCCCCTAAAATTGGAAAGAGATAAAACTTTTTTTAATATCACTGTTTCTTAGTGGGCTGGCAAAAGCACTGAGCAGATTACAGTAGATTATAGTTCAGTAGATGCTACACAAACACACGGTTGACTCTAAACAGATCACCTGTGGCCAGTTTTAAGTGTCCAATTAACCCAAGTCCTCATCTCCACACCTTTGGACAACGTCCACACTGAAAGACTATCTGCCCATGACAGAAGGTGACTTCTCTGGCTTTGGACAACGTCCACACTGAAAGACTGTCCATGACAGAAGGTGACTTCTCTGCTGTGAGGCTCACCGTCGCCCCATGTTGAGCCTCCATGTACACAAACACTGTAACCTACCAAGAGCCACGTCACACAGCATGGAGTATTTCAAATACTTCACAAGAGCTCTGGCTTTTTTTTATCCTCCCGTCCATCTGAAATCCATTTAAACTTGAATTTGTTATCCAACAGCAGCAGTAGCCCTGTGTACGACGGACACAAACCGTGGGGAAATAACAGTTTCCGCTACGGTGGACCACTTGATTAAAACAGCTCAGGGGGTTGAGTTCTAAAACTCTGCATATCTTGATGAAAAGCTAGTTCAGAGACCAGACTCATTGTAATAGAAAATGTCACGTTCAATTAAAAGGCCACACGTTCGGTGTGGCACGGCTGGTGCCCATCATTACGGAGCTAAATGGTGCACTAACATTTGCACTGTGCCATTGCTGCAGCGTGATTCTGTGTTCACCCAACCACAGCAGCGTTGTATGGGTTCGTTAAGATAGTGATGGAAACAAAAGAGCAAATAACAGCCCTGCTCTTGGTTCTGAAAGGAGCAGGTCGTAGCTGTGATCAATGTTTCCCTCACTCTCTTCATTAGAGTGGATGCGGCAGCAGAGCAGGTGCCTGACATTCTTCATTCTCTGCTGTGATTAGTTTCAAAAGAGGGAGATTAGAGCTCACGTTTGTTATGAGAAATCCAGCCATACATTCTGCCCCGTGAAGGAAATTAATCAAAGTGTCTCTGTACGAATGTCGCTCTTTCTGCAGGGAGAGGTTTCTGAGCTTTACGACAGCGGTGAATGTTCCATCCATTACTGCTGTATAACAAATGGATGCTTCTCTTAACATCACACCGTCACACAGATCATTTCCATTTACAGGACACCATCTTTTCTTGACTGGTTTTTGCCACTTGAAATACATTTACTGGCCACTTTAATTAATTACAGCCATCCACAGTCATAACGCATGCACATTTAAACTTGTTGGCTAAGTCAAAATAAGTAATAATATGAGGGTAAAAAGATGAGTTTAGTGGTGTTTGAAGATGACTTGTTTGTTAATGGCAAATAGGCTGCTCTCAGCAGCTCAAGAACTGCTGATCACCTGGAATTTTACCACAAAATCAGCACCAGGATTTATAGAGGACGGTGAAAAGAAAAAGAAAAAAGTGTTCAGACAGAAGCAGTTATCTGGACAAAAACATACCGATGATGTCAGAGGTCAGTAGAGAATGGCTGAACTGGAAGGAGCTGATAAGAAGGCAACAGTGAATGCAGTAGCCGCCTGAAAAGATACGCAGAGCAACAACTCTACATGGGCTGCACGTCAAACCTTTGAATGGTTGGGCTACAGTCGTATCACAATGATTGTGCTCTTCAGCATCTGTTAGATAAAGAAGATAAAACTGAGGCTACAATTGGCACACGGGCCAGTAGAGATTAACGTGTGATTAAAGAAAAAAGAAAGTTGCCTGTTTTGAAACTGTAAGTCTGGTCAGAATTCTTGCTTGAAAAACATTATATTATTGCCCAAGGTATTACATTTTCAGACTGGTGGTGAAAAAGTGAAATTGCTATAGTGTGAACTAACTGGTACCCCATGTCACAGTCAACCTACAGTATGTACTGTTTCTGACCACGTCCAACTTTTACAGTCGATCTCTTCCTCTGACAACCACCAGCAGGACAACATGCTGTGTTTAGACTGAACTCATCTTAAACTCAAACTTTCTCTTGGATTTTCTTTAACCTTAGAGAGTTGACAGTTGATTCACTCATATCTATTTTATGTTTCAGTCTTTGATTTAAAAAACAAACAAAACAAAAAACACCATATATATCCCCAACAGTTCAACTGAATTTTTTTTATCTCATTATTACCAAACACTTTTAGCCCTAATTGATCACAAATGTATTCCACTTCTTTCTCAGGCAGAACAGCTCTTTCCACTTACAAAATAAGGCTTGACGCGAATTGAATAGCTCCTCAAGACAGTTTAGCATTTCAAAAGGCTTTTTCCCCACAAGGGCTTTTTACAAACTTAAACTTATCGTCCGTGGTTACCATCAGATCAAAGCTGACAGAGACAAGCACAGAGCACACGAGCTTCACTCCAGATTATAATAAAGAACATTTAGCTTTGATGCATGTTCCTGCAGTGTCATTTACATCTTAGAGGAGACTTAATGTTTTACAACCATGTCAAACATAAACAAGGGATTTCAAGCAAACCTGCTGATCTGGGGGCTGTTCAAATCCAATCCTCCTGTCCCTGAAATATATTTGTAGAAGCAGAAGTGAGTATACGGTAGACTGATTTCTTAATGGCTACAAATTCTGTTTTTGTGCATTATTCTTACCTGGAATATAATTTTCAGCAGCACTGGAAGTCCTGTGGTGCCGCGAACACTCTCTCTTCCCTTATACACACATTATTTACCTCCTGCCGTTTATGCTTTTTATTGTCTCTTTACTTTGCAAGTAACTGTAAATCCAGAAGTGCAGGACATGATTCCATTCCAAATTCCAGATTTTTTTAAAGAAGTTCAACATTTTTTGTTTTGTTTTTTACAAACTGTCTTTATTTTCAGACTGGGAAACCAACAAAATGAAGCACACAATAAGACAGGTTTCCAAACGCCTTTAAAAATCCAAACTCATGTTGCATGACTTGTGTAAAATGAACAGTAGTCTCATATGGTTAAGGAGGATGTCTGATGAAACAAGGTGAACAGAAATATTGCTTTAAAGGATAAACATTAAAAAACTATAGCGTGGAAACGTCGTTAAAAGCTCCGCTCTCTTATTTGCTTAGACATGGTCTAATTTACAAATATGACATACACAACCGCATTCGGTCATCATTCTGATGACTTTTAATAAGCTCAAAGAGAACATGAAAAACTAGCGATTAAAAAAATAGACTCATTTGTCATGATCTGTGAAACATTCACAAAAAAGTTCTTCTCAAAAGGGAAAAAGCAGAGCGAGAGCCCCCCTCCATCGCAAAGCTACAATCAGATGGCCCACTACCCCTTTAATAGGGTCCCCTTTTTAAATCAGAGCCAAAGTCCCCCAATAACCTGTGCTGTAGATAGACCTCAGCTTTCCTGCTTGTCTTTGACCAAAAGGACGGTGTGCTGCCCTCCACTGGACGCCATCAGAACTGCACGGTTCTCCAGCTGTTTTCCAGTTACCTTCACAGGGCTCCACTCATCATCCTCCTGTCCTGTGCCAAGCTGCAAGTTTGTGCCCATGCCCCAGGCATAAAGTGACCCTGGAGGACACCAGACAAGGTGTGGAAATATATATTTAATACATGTATGATGAAATATTATTTTAGTTTTAATATATTGTGAACAGAAAATCATTATGAGAAACACGGTTCAAGAAAGAAACTAAGAGCCAGTTGAAATACATAACATCAAAAGAAATCCTTTGCATTGATCCCTCATTACTACAATTACTACAGTGATTAAAAATACAAAACTATAGTTTGTTACAAAACAACAACTCCATTGTCTCCTCACCTTCTCTGGTGATGGCGTAGCTCACTGTTGCCCCACAGGTTACACTCGTGGCCGGTTCAATGCCCTTCACCTGTGTGGGCTCACTCTTCTCTTCAGCTCCCTCGCCCAAACCAAGGCGGCCATAATCTGCTCTGCCCAGGCTATAAACCTGGCCTGAGAACCATATTTAGATATAGAAAAGGTCATTTTTAATTTTGTGGTGTAGTTTATATAGGAGACATCACTGATGGGCTTTATCTCCTCGTTGGGACATCAGATTAGATTATATAGATCATTGAAACAGTGCGAGAGTCAGTTTGTAATTCACCTTCAGAGTCAAGACAGATGGTGTGATGCTGTCCTCCTGCAAAGTCAACCCAAGATTTGGTGGAGTTCTTGAAGCAGGTGAGATTCACTGGGACAAAGCATGTCTTTATGCCTTTAGTGCCTGATCAGACAAATTAAATCGGACTAGTTACGACTCATTACATATGTTACACGGCTCAAATTGTGGAAGCATCTGCTTGGTAACCATTGAGACACAGATTCTTGCATGTTTTGGCTGAATATGTGTGTTGTGTCATACTAACCCAGCTGGTGGTAATTAGAGAGGCCGAATCCGTACACGTGTCCGGCTGTTGATATGGCGAAAGTAAAGTAGGCTCCACAGAAGACGTCTGCGAAATGAACTTTACCTCTGAAATTTACCACCTTTGGTATCAGCAGGTGGTCTAAAAATCACAGGAAACTCGAGTCAAGTAAACTGTTCAGTGTTAAAGCCACATGTGCTACACACATGACATCTTTGGAGAACAGGATTGCAATTTATACATGAAGAGCACTTTATAGAGAGATAGAGATAGAGAGAGAGCGAGAGAGATACTTTATTGACCCCAAAGGGAAATTAAGGCAGATCTGTGTTACGTACCAAGACCTCGCCTGCCTCCTCTGTCTATAAAATGCTCCGACAGTCTTCCTAGCTGACCCTGCTCAGCTGTTCCTGATGTGTAGAGATTTCCCCCGAGTGTTACCATGACGAAATGATCATTACCTAATAAAGTATTCATGGAAGTGGGACACAATCATTACTACTAAATTACAAATAAAAGCATTTGTCACCGGAAAGAACGGCTTCTTACCTGATGCAATTTTCACCACGAGTTCCAGCATGGGGACTTTGACTGGAACACGAGATGTTTTCAGTGCTTCCAGAAGACCAATTACACCATTGTTATCCTGAAAAACAAACAAACACGTGGCCACGCTAGTCAGAACTGGAGATGCATTTCAAGACAACACAGGTATGACTGTGAATGCTGTAAAAATAAGTCTTGATTAAGTGGGATTCTGATGCAATGACTGATGTTAATGACAAATAATTTTAATAACAGTAATTTGGTTTATTTAGTTGGATTAAAGTTCCACCGAGACGCGTGCAAGGCTCAAGGTACGTAATTTCCCACTTGACCAAACACTCACTTACATTTTCATTAGGGAGGCTGTATTAAAAACATTGAGATGTCACAAAGACATTGAAGAAAACCTGACATTTTTAACAGGCATTGTTTAAATGCATAAAAGGTTTTTGGGTCCATGTGATGAATGGATGCAAAAAATTTAAAATACAAACAAATCTCCCAAAATAATGTGATTCCATGAATCAGGACTTCAAGGCAGATTTACAAAACCATCATAAATCAAGTGGGAGTGCAGAAGGTAGGCCTAAGAAATGGAGAAGTAATTGCCACGGTGCCACTGAGTATTACTAATAAAAATCTGATGAATTATATTGTAGCAGGGACACTGAGTGTTAAGAGGAAAATAGAAGATTTTTAAATGCTACTTCAACTTTGGTGTCTTCACATGCAGGTATTTAAATGTAGCCATAACATGGAGAGATTAGTCACTATTACAAAATAAACACATGATGCCCAACATTGTTTGGTTTGGCTTATGCGCAGATATTCCTTGGATTCATGCACTCTCGCGCACACACACAGACTTGTTTCAACATATTTAAGCTGTGTGTCTACTTAGAGAATTAACACAAGGTATAGGATCCAGTGTGTTTGTAGAGCAGGAAACAGGAACTAAACTTAAGTTCCAGGCCTTGAACAGTCCTATTTTAATAGTAGTTTGTACTTTTTAACTGGTACCTGAACTTGCTGCCTCTTGTTTCTCCTTGCCATTTTTGTTAACAGATCTAATTGTAATGTTTGACTTTGCTCAAAATAGGACTTGGCAAATTGACCAATGAGCAACATGACAGGACTTGTAGCTTTGAGGAGCGTCTCTCAGGAAAACATGTCACAGACACATTTGTTCTGTATCAAATTTTACAAGAAAAGCAAGACTAAAAGATGAGATTTCAAGTGTTCAGAATAAATTGAAAGGGGACTTCAAGTCAATTTCAAGTGAGAAGTAATTCTTATTTGATTTTTTATATTTAATTCATTTATAATACCACAGTGAGAAAACTTAGTTTTACAAAGTATCAAAAGAATTAAGTCAACGTTAATGGACCCATTTATAGTAATGTAATGAAAACTAATTCTTTAGAGTCATGTGAGATTCAAGCATCCAACTGGAGCTGGACACTTTTGACTGCCATCAGATGCCATGTATTATAGGCGATAATATGATGCTTTAATAGTAAACACAATTTCAGTGTCTCCAAAAGAGAAACAACAGAAAGTCTACTTTCTTATTCTACTAATAATCTGTTGGCATAATTAAAAAGAAAATAAATAAAATTAATTGATCTCAGATTCAATGGACACAAAGCAAATCTCACCCTGAAGGTGCCCCACAAGTAAACCTGTCCGGTCTCTGTGAGCGCAGCTGTGTGACTGTCCCCTGCAGACACCTGGATGACCTTCTCCTCCAACGCCACCTTCCCTGGAGCCATCTCAGACCCTTCACCTGACGTTTCTCGACCCAGGGCCCCTTCATCATTACAGCCGAACGTGTAGACCTGCAGGTATAAATGGTGACAATTTTACCTTTATATGAAAATATAAATTAAATATTAGCAAGAATTAGCTTTTTAAAGAGGAAGATTTAATATATCCTTACACTGCCAGAGACGCTCAAACACACTGTGTGCATCCCTCCAGCTATAACCTGTACCATTTTCTCTGGCAGAGACAAAAGTGCTGGCTTCTTTCTCTCCAGGACATCTTCACCTAAACCCAGCTGTCCAACATCACCCTGACCCAGGACAAGGACTTCACCTGCTTCCTTTGCATGGCTTTTATGAGAAACTGACAAGTACAAATAGTCAACAGTTAGCTGACTTGATTCATAATTTATAATATTTAAAATTTATAGACAGCATTAACAAATCTGTTTGTCTATTATGAACACGAACTTAATTACTTACCTTTTACTTTTTTCGGAAGGGCCTTATCCTCGGCAATAGCCTCAGATTTCCTCTTGGTGGCAGTCTTTCTAGCAGGCATGACAGCAACCTCTGGACAAAAAAGGAGGACCAATAGGATGTAATTGTTGAACTATTTGATCCTTTGTTACAATTCCAAGTCTTTGGTTGTTCTGGTATGGTAATTCACACCGTTGTCTACAACGTTTTGTGATTTGATGACTAAGCCTTGGTGGCTCAGCATCAGCCTTCCTGGAGACAGGTAAACATGAGGTCATAACAACTGGGAGTTGTCCCCAAGTAAAGTAAACGTAGGTAAAGTGTAAGCACCTTTTGCGGAATGTCCTAAGTGTAGTTATACGCAGAAGGACAAAATTCAACATTAACGATTTAATGGTCATATTAACAGCTTTTACTTGCGATTTATTTATAAGGCTGCTGAAAATGTAGCAATCGTCGATTTTGCCAACCATTTATTTGCAGTTTGTCGTTTGTGACATTATAACCCATGACATGGTGACGTAGTAATGAGAGATTGCAAAGTGTACTACGTGAATCGCTTTTTCAATATGTCCCTCCAGTTAAAAAAAAAAAGCTCAGTTGTGTCTGGTAAAATCGATAAGAAAGTGGCTAAATTGGTTATACACGAGGTCGGGTGCGGTCACCACGAACAACAATGTTTGTTGTAGACAGGAAAACGCCAAACATTTTGCCAGAACTTACAGTCAAACGCTTGACTGTTTCTTTCTAATACTCAAAAGATGCAGCTGCGGTTCAACAGCTGTGAGGGACTCCAAAGGCTGGCACCGTGCCCGTTACATCTACCCTACAGCTCCACAACTGTTCTTGTTTTTCACATTTCCTCACGCTGTTATCGGTGCTACGGTTCAAACAAGTATAACATATTTTCATGGCCTTATTTCTTTATTGCATTAACTTAAACGCAAGGTTTTACAGTAAATAATTAAACACTGTGAGCCAAGGACGTAAGACACATGGTGGTGTGTGCATGCTAACATTTGCCCATTTCATCAAGCGTTGATTTAAGACAGGTGTTAGTTAGATTCATTTGTCAAATTTTGATGTAGGTAATCGGTACATTGAGTTCCCATGGATGTAACCTCTCATATTAAACTACATAACCACTATTAAAAGACTTACACTATAGCTAACGTATGTTGTGCCGGTGGCTAACACACAGTGACCCATGCAGCTAGCAGCGTTAGCAAAACATCAGAAAATGAATTCATACATTGACAATGACTTTCAGCATACATGCAAACAATTAAATTAAACTGGGTTTATTATTGTACGATTGTTAACAAATGGAATACGTATTAATTGTTACGTTACTGACCTGTAGTACATAGAAGTCTGAACTAATGCTGAAGAGAGAAAGCGCCACTTCTTCGTCTCGCAGGGTTTCACTTATGACTATATATAAGGTAGCTGCTTCCCTCTGTGTTGTAAATACTGCCCCCCTCCGGTGGCACAGGCCCGTTTTTATTTGACGCAAATAAACAAAATGAATATTCAAAAACAACCATAGTTCTGATAAGGAAAAACTATTTCCAACGTTTTAGAATCTATACAGCTTAAATGGCCGTTTGTAAAAGAAAACCAATCAACATACGTTAGTGTTTCTGCTAACGTATGTTGACGCACAATTACTACTTATACTATTACTTTTAGTTTCACACTTGTACATCTATTATCACATCGAATATATTTTGTCCACCTACTACCACAATAATTTCTATTTTCTTTCTTTTTAACAGTTTTTCCTTATTTTTATTTAACTATTTTACTGTTATTTAAATGATAACTGATAATTATTACAAAGCTAGTTATCATTTTACGTAATACTCAACTCGCATCACCAGTGAACTCTAACCACGGACCCTTGTCTTTCTACGGTGCTCAAGTCATTTTTTCCTGTGCCCTTAAAGTCCATTTAACGTTTGTTGAATAATTTACCTCAAATTGTAATTGTATCGAGTGCTGTTTACATTTTTTAATATTTTTTAAGTTACCGTCTGTGTACCTTTTTTGTACATAGCCCATAATCACACTGTCGTTATCATCTTTCACTTACTGCAAACCCCAATTGAACATAGTAGTATTGAACGCTAGGTGTCACTGCTACCTTAAATTTTCAAGGATTGGGCTGGAGTCATCGCACAGGAGACTTAAAAATTGTAAGATTTTTAATTAGATCAGGATGTGACTATTTACAGTTAAAAAGAAAGAAAAAAAACAGATTAGCCCATACAATTTCACATTCATTTACAAATTAACTTAAATTTTTACTACTTTAATATTCGCATTCTTGTAGCATTTAATCATAAACTAATATTCTGTGCTTAAAAAAATAGCAACCTATAATGCCTTTAAATTTAAAATGTCTTTCAAATTAAAGAAAGACATGATATACACAAGCTTCACTTAAAACTACTGTATATCAACATGTACATAGCGTAGAGGACCCTGTAATCTACTTGCCAGGCAAGAATACAAAGCACGTCTGCATATTCATAGTGTTCCTGCCATGACAACTCCCTGTTGATCGCATATGTATTTCAGATAAGGTTTTTTTTCCCCTATTAATCCCTGATCTACACTCATAGTAACTTACCATTAACTCTAAGACACTACAAGCATGATCCTTTTTTTTCATAATGGCTAGAGAATGTGTTGCAAGTTTGACCACTAAAGGGTAGTACAAAAACTTAATTTAAAAAAAAAAACCAAAACAGTATGAATGAAAAAAAAGAAGATATTGTGTTGGCTCATGCAGTGGATTGCAGAAATTACTGATATACAAACCAGCATCCTATAGTCGTTCGGGCATTGGCACAAAAACAGCCACCTGACATATTTCCTATATCTACAACAATGCTTAAATGGCCACCTCACATCACAACCATAAATACAGGCAAGCCAAATAAAAAGGCTTAAATAAAAGCTGTCACTACTCATTTCAACAGAATACCAATATAAAATATCTTGTGCATGGTGTCTCGTATTCAGTGATAACTTTCATTCTAAAGTTATCACAATAACAGTCTGTACAGGTTTTTATGCAAAACACATACAATATTTCAAAAGAAATCAGTCCTAGAACAGAATATTCCAGTCTTCATCCTCCAGCCTGCATTGCTGCTGCCACCTGACTTCACTATTAATTATTACTGTGAGTAGAGTCATAAGTCATAATTATTATTATTGTATGTTATTACATTGACAGGATGAAATCAGTTGTTCCATTTACAGTAAAAGGAGGAAAAAGGCAACACAGAATGAGGCTGCATTAAAGGTTGTAACTAGATCCAAGTCCCTGAGGGGTACCACATAACAGCAGAGTGAGAGTTAAGCCCTGTCGGTCTGCTGCCACTCCTTCACTTCATTGGCACGTGGTTCCCCCTGTTGTCTGGGAGAAATACTGCATCTGGTCCTTGCCTATTTCCCGTCTTCAGTTCAGTGAAAGCGATGTAGCCCGAGGGCGATGTAGGGCAAAGGAGGCAGCGTTCTTATTGTAAGTCAGTAAGTCCAGGCTTTCCCTGATAATCTGTAGAGTACATTCAGGAGACGTAAAGGGCCATAAGTCTGCAGAGGGAACGGCCTCCAGACACAGAGATCATAAGTGCTTCATTGACCATGATGGAGAGAGGGAGGCTATGGCCGATGAAACCTAAACAAAATAAAGACATAAAACAGGTTCATTCAGAGCTATAATACTTCATACATCACATCCAGTTTATGCTATTGTTTTGTCTTCCTTATTTGTCAGCCAGAAATCCAATGCATTTGCATTCTGTCATTTAATCTTGGTCTCTACAGTCCCATTATTTAGGTCCAGGGTCAGTCCCTGTCTGGGATTATAGGCCTGCCTCCAAGAAGCAAAAATACAACAAACCACTCAGAAATGTACTGTACACAAGAACACCCTCCCCTACAGTCCTTGGGAGGGGCTCTCCCCACACCTTGGTCAAAGTGTTGATTTTAAAGGGAATGTATGCATGTTATTCCCTTCTACAGTTCATTTTATTTCACTGACTTCAGTCTCTTTGTTTGCTCTTCTTGGCTCCTCCATCTCTTTTCACCAGAGCAATACAAAGTTACTCTTTATTACTATCAGCAACACAGATAACACACAACTGTATCTGTGTTTCTGTCATATTCACAGTAACAGAATGTGTCCCTGATTCAACCACAACTGTCAGATTACTCTGTACCATCCAGAAAAACAAACCTTGTGTAAATTCTGCTCTCTTCATGAACCTCCATTTCTGTGCTCTTGTAATCGTTGAGTTCTTTCCTGATGGCTGCCTGTTGGAAAAAACAAATCGGAGAGAAGAAGTCAGTTGAAAAGATAGGTATCTAATTTTTATATTAGTGAGAAAATATAAAATGGAAAGTCATAGTTTATAGGAAAACATATCTTTTTTTTTAAAAGATAACTTTATTACCTTATCAGCAGGAGTCAGCTTAGTCCATGGCTTGTCTGCTCTCCGATCATAATCCTGAGCGTCTGTGACTTCAACATATTCATGGAAACGCAGGATTTTTCTTGCCTGTAGTTCTGCAACGGTTGGCCTTTGACTCAGCTAAAAAATATTAACATTTTTAGGTCAGTTTGAGAACTGTCACAGGCAGGATTTGTGTGATAAATTGATGACGATTAGTCTCACCTTCCTGGTCAAGCGCCGTTTGATTTCTCTAACCTCAGCTTGTCTGTCAGCCTGATTTTTGGCTAAAGAAGGAATCAAGGAGGACAACAAAATATTTAGAGCTATATTTAGATGCAGGTGTGAAAGCCAGGTTTGTTGTTCAGTAACATTAGGACAAAGCAGTTTCTATATTTAAACATCTAAAACAGGAGGCAGGCAGGTGGTCTTTTCAGATGTTATTTCTGTGTTTAAGTATTTGATTTTGTTTACACATGATAATGAAATGCACTGCTACAGTAGGACAGCTCCAAAATACAAAAATGCCAGAATATTAGTGGTTAACATTTTAAAAAAAAATGCAGTAGAATGAAAGACTTGATACTGACGCTGAAGGATGTTTCTTTGCTCCAGCTCCTCCGCTGTGGGTCTCTGGCTAAGCCGTCTGAAGATACATAAGAAAAACAGCACTGTTTTAAGGTTGATCAGTTATTCGTGAAAAGAGAAGGGCAACGATCTGACAAATGATCCGGATTATATATAAAAAAAAAAAAACTTTACTATTAACAGTTTGCACAGCCAAAACATGTAGTGTAACTCTAGATTGCAGTGGTCCCTTTTTTAGAGCCAGGGCAACTTGCAAATATCTTCCCATGTCATTTTTCCATGTCTTTCCTTCAGTCAGCAATACTGTAAATAATAAAGAGCTCTAACTGCTTCCACTGGTAAACAATGACTGTTTAGATTGACTCGTATAAGGGCTGGATTTTCATTTCTGAATGTCCTGAGAATCCTTATATATATCTAACTCTTTATATGACTGATAACTTACCATTTTTACTGTCACTTGTTAAATAATAATGGCAGTGTAAAAGTTAAATTAAGTTTTATTCTGATTTGGGTCATTTATTGTATGAATTCCTTACAAATTAGTTTAACAGCCCTGTTCTGAACGGCCAGTCTCTGTGCCTGTACCTTTAAATGGTAATGACAGACTGAGGACGGCTTCATGAAACCATAGCAACGGATGAGCAGTGAGAAAGAAAAGGTTGCTGGACAACACACTGTGGTCCAAACGTATATGTCTGAGCCAGAGACCCAGAATGAGAAGAAGCTCCAGAAAAAGTTAAAATCCATGAATGAATGTGGATGTTTCACAGTCATCAGACGTGACTGGTGTTTATTTAGCTTCGTGCTGGAAGAGCAGCAGTGCTTAGTTTTGAGGTTGTACGTGAAAGCAGTCCTCCAGCCATGAACATTCCACTCACAGGTGGCAGTGGATGGAGCTACCACTGCGGCGGGTGATGTCACACAGTGGTTGAAATATAACCAGCTAATTTCTTTTTCGGGTTTTTTTGCAAATTATAAAACAACTATTTAGTTGTGAAAACGGAGTAGGTTGACACTTCAGAGATGCAAATGTGTCCCTTAATTATGACAAAATCCATTAAATGATTGTGATTTAATTCTCGATCACAAAGAGAGACACAAAAAAAATCAGGTGGTAGACACAGAAAGACTGCAAGTACAAAGATTGAGTACATGATCCAAATTGTCGCTGCTTTCAGTTTTCAGTGTGTAGGCTGCAGTTCAGAGGTGGCGGTTGTTGTTGTTGTTTCCTGTGTTTAATGAGGATTATAAAAAACAGGAGGAGCCTGGTGTCTAAACTTGTCCATCAATGACAAAGTGATCCTGAGTGCAAAGATTAATAACACCCGGTAGTAAGACTCAATTTTAGCAGCACTGTCATCTGAGGGTGAGGGTGCTAACCTTGTGAGTGCAGTGCCAATCTGTGTGCGGATGGCCTCCCACTGTTCCCTGCTCTGCCATGTGAGGCCGGTCTGTCCCGGAGGCTGGTCGTCTCTGCAGCTCCTCTCCTGTGTGAACCTGTCTCTGCTTTGAATCGTGGGACGGTTGCTCAGCTTCAGTGCCAGGGTGTCCTTCCTCTTCACCCTGCTGGCCAAAGCACCTGGACAAAACCACAACGCCAAAATAAGGGTCTTCACACCAAAGTAAAATCCAAACTTGTTTCAGTAATTTTTTCAAACTTCACAATTCTTACTTGTTGGGGGCTCATCGTCCTCATCCTCATCCGAGTCTTCATCTCTATGGAGCACTGGACCATCAGAGTCACTGTCCTCCCTCTGCATGTCATGCTCATCCTCATCATAATCCTCTTCTTCATCCTCCTCTTCACTGCTGTTACCTCTTGGAAGGACACAAACGGCGTCACCCACCAAACATCGACGACTCCGAGGTTCCAGTTCTGGTTGAGGGATCTCCCCGTCATACTCTTCCTCTTCTTCATCATCATCATCTTCATCTCCAAGCTCCTCCTCTTCTTCTGAGTAGTCATCTTCAGATCTAATAGTAAAAACCAGGAAAATTATTTTGAATTCAAAAGTGAAGTAATATTTCAAGGTCGACTTTTATTTCCCATCAATCACACATTTACTATTCTGATGTTAGTAGGATCTGATAGAAATGGTGGCTTCAAAAACTACAACATGGCACCTTTCCTCATTTACAAAATCCAGGCTTTGAAACAACTGTGGACAATGACACTGTTGTAGCTTTAATGTAAAACTCTTCCTCTCTTCTATCCCTTAGGTAGAAATTATTTTGTCTCTTGTCCACAGTATTGTTTTCTTTAATTATCTTAAAAGTCTGAAGGTATTGAGTGCTGGACAACTCACAGTTTCAGTGGCTGGATACTGACAGGCAGAGGGCGACCTCGGTCTCCCTGGTACTCTGGAGGGGTCTCAAAGAGCAGCGCGTGTGCACGCTGTGACCCGTCTGGATGTGGCTGAGCCGGGCCAGGACTGGACAGTGCTCGCTGGATCATGATATGCAGTGGGATGGGGGCCGGACGCTGGGGGGACTCGTTTATGGGGCTCGGTGGGTCAAAAAGCATGGGAATGGGTTGAGGCAGTGGGTGGGGGTAGGAGTGCTGATGGTGGAGGTGATGGCTGTGCATATGTTGGCGAGGTGGAGAGGGCGGTTTGTGAGTTGGGAGAGGTGGGGAGGGCGAAGGCAGCTGGAAGCCCAGTCCAGGAATGTTGCTGTGGTCTTCCAGGGAGAGAGCAGACGGGTTGATGGGATGGTTAGAAGCAGCCGAGTCGTCTGGGGTGCGTTTGGTGACAGGGGTCGTCCTCTTGGGGGGCATTGGTGGAGAGGGCTTTGCTGGTGCAAGAGTGGCACCTCCAGTTTGAGTGAAGTCGCCTGAAAAAAGGCAAAAAAGCAATCATTACAGAAAAAATCACTACAGTATTTCCTTTAAAATTAACCTTAATGTAAGTATTTCCAAGTGCTTTTACTGTATATGAAGTAGTACTTTATAATGGAATCCTGTATTTTTTTTACACTTATAAACCAAATTAATTCACAAAAACGTCAGGATTTATCATCTGCCTCCTTTACAAATTTACCATTGAAAGTGTATGCTACTGAGTAGTGCTGACATGTACTGCACAAAAGCTCTGACTGGGGTGACCCGATGACTCGTTGATAGAAAATCTTTAAACCTTAAGGATCTTGAGAGATTCGTGCAAAAACTGTATAACATTATTAGGAGGTTTGTAATTTTGACATTGGTATTTAATTTTTAAAAATTGATTTGTTACATTATAAAATCAATATTTTATAAATAAGATATACTATAACATCAAGCACTTAAAAAACACTTGGTCTGAGGAGGCTAATAATGTTGCCCTCAGCTGGACTTCCTGTGAATAAGTCAAGTGCATTTCTTTTCTTGTCTTCTCTGCTGCAGCGACACGAGCAAACAACTCAGTCACACATGTCGAACGTATACACCGTGACAGAACTCACATGAACAGATACAAATACTAGGATTATATGTCTGACTAAGCATTACAGCATACATAGTGAGTTGGGTCACATGGTTGCATTAGGATGAATGCACACACCGCTCTGACAAACCAGTGTGCAGCATGTGGCCCAGATCATACAGACTCACAAACTCAGACTACATGCTCTGGACAACGTTACTGAATCTGGTTTATCAGCAGGTTTATGGTGCACAAAAAAAGCTTGAATGCAAATTATTTTCATGCAGATTTCTTTTTTTGCTGCTAATGTCCTGAGAAAATGTTAAAGAGCAATGGCCGTGCTACTGTGGCGTAATAGAAGATCAGTGTAGTCGCACTGGACACATGCAAAGGACCACAGTATAAAAACACCATTTCAGAAAGTTGGTACAATTTCCTAAATGCAATAAAGACAAAGCTGAAAATGTCTTATTGCTGACCAGATTAATTATATTTACCAAATATAAACAAAATTAAGTTGAATATAGCACATCTTTAGATTAGCACTCTGCTGGATCCCTTTTTTTAAATGACAATGCATATTGAGCATATCTGAACAAAAGCACACTTTTAAATAAAAACATAACTTATTTATTCTTGCAAAAACCATTACCCAGACAATAGTCCATGTGCCCCGAGTTGAGAACTACAGGCCTAACAGTTTTTTCATGTGTCACAATGGTTTAAATCATAAAATGTTTTCTTCTTGTATTGTATATGTTAAATGAGATAAATGAATAGGAGTTTGTCATTGAAAACACTAGGGGTGTGTATTGGCAAGAATCTGTCGATAAGATTATCATATGCCTGTTTAAATAAAACACTGTTAATTACCAAACCACAGAGTTTAGACTGTTTTTGCAATTTTAGGAAGTGTACCAATCTGGAAATGTGAGTAGCACTAAATTATACCTTAGGTCAGAACCAATCCATCCATCCATCCATCCATCCATCCATCCATCCATCTTGAGCGAAAGCAGAGTATATTAGTTTTGAAACATTTACTCAAAGCTAAACTTGCCACAGCCTTTCCCTCATTCACAGATGACATACAAGAATTCAGCAGTACATATATACGCTGAAGACTTCTTACACAGACAGAAGTTGGCCTTCATCTTCCTAAAGCACCTAGCAAACACATTAACAGCCCATTATGTGCATGCGACGCTAATACAAGAGAGAAGCAATCAAGGCCACTCAGCAAAGGGGAAGGCATCTGTTAGGGAAATGTCAGCAGCTTGATAAGACGCAACAACATGAAGAACGCAGACTCTGAAGGAGGCCATCCAGCACTGGCCAAAAAGGGCCAAAATGCATCTTTTTACCTGAACGCAAGCCTCCGGCCCGCCGGCACAGGTAGACAGGCAGAGACAGGTAGACATCATAGTCACACTCCCGCTTCCAGCAGGACCAGTAGAGAGGAAGCTGAGCGTTCTCTCCCCCCTGCAGGGCGGAGACTAACAAGGAGGAGACGCAGGCCTTCAGCTGGTGTGTTTTCAATGAGCAAGGATTTTGATATTGTTCTGTGGAATTGTTTGAGTTATCTTTACTCTGTCCTCCAATAGGAGACAGAGGTTTGTTTCTCATATCAAAATGATTTCACTGTTTTGACTTTTATTGTAAAGAAGAAGGTGGACACATGCATCTGCCATGTTACGACAATATTTGTCTGCTATCTAATGTCATCGGATGACAATTTGTCAGGCAAAATAATGAAAACTTTCCAGTGATTTGATTTGCATTCTAATTACATTAGGATTAATCAGGGACTTGTTTTTTTTCTATTATTTGGCTCAATTGCTAATTAGCATGAAGACTAGATTTAAACAGCACAAATTCCAATGACACAGACAGGAAGGCACCAACATCCCAAGATCTGCCGATAAGATTAAAAAAAAAAGAAGAAAAGAATCCAAGTACACTAGACAGCTCTGCTTGAGTGGGAATTAAGGCAAGATCCCAGATGAGTCAAGCCCACAGTAAACAACAACAGCTTCGCTGCATCTGTCTGAGCAGCAGCCCCAAGTCACAGGAGTCCCCGTTATCTACAGGATCTAAACTGCAGCAGCAGTGGCAGCTAAAACAGGTAATTAGCTGGGGAAAAGCCGCACAAGCTGTTCAATAACATCATTATCGTGGTGTGCATCAAAGTGTTTGTGGAAGAGTGTGCTTGTGAATGCTGCGAGATGTGTCAAAACTTCACTTTGCCATCATTTGTGCACCGAGTCATGAATGTACACACTGCCACCACCACAATAACAGAACAGACATCGGAGGGGGTGTCACATGTTCACGATCTACATCACGTTACTCACCCAACATGTTGGCGTTGTTCCTGTTCATGGGCTTGGGTGGAGGCAGAGGTGGCTGCTTGGTGACCTGAGGGTTGGAGGTCATGGGTGCAGGCGAGGACTGCTGTGTGGACACACCTGCGGAGGACACACCGCGGACAGGTTTGGATGCTGAGGATGGAGCAGCAGTGGGGGAGGGGTACTGGGCTGCAGGGTGGCTGCGAGGTGAAACCTCGCTGTCCGGCTCAGCAGGGCCCCACAGCCATTTTGGAGGT